CTGCTCCTCTGATGCTGCTTGGCCTGCTGTGTTCATCCAGCTCTACACCTTGTTATCTCAGATTCTCCAGCATCTGCAGTTCCTACTATCTCTTAAAAAAAGCTAGGTTGGTTGTGACTTGAGAAATATCATTGGTTCTATCATAGTTAGCTTTTTTTCATAAAAGGAAAAGTATTGAGAATCCTGACAGCCCATAGAGTTTGAAACTCCATTACTCAACAGTAAGTTATATGAAAACAATTTTTTGAAATGGTCAACTCGTTTGTATAATGGTGCTTAAAATTGGACATTTACATTGGCAGAGACTAGAGTTCTTATTTGAGTCACTTCAATCCTGTGACCTAAATTTATCAGCATAAAGACTACAGGGGATTTCATGTCCTACCTTTGTAAGTGCTGCCACTCTCTGTGCCAACTCTGCTTCTACTTCTGGTAGAGTTTCTGCCTTTCTGAGAGTTTGTTGCAGCTTTTGTTCAGCTAATTCCAACCGTTCTTGCAACTGACGATTCTTCTCTTCACTCTGCATTTTTAATTTTGAAGTATAAAGTTTAGTCATCTCAACTTCAGAATCAATTCTTTGTAATTCTTACAACATTATACAGGTCATTTCCATCTCAGTTAGACAGAATTGAAAGAGGCCAAGTGCTGGACTACAGTGTGGGGTTTGCAGTGGACCAGTTAATGGCACTTCAACACGTGTCAGCCGTGCTTAGTGGTAGCATTTTCATCGAAGCCAGAAGGTTGGGGCTGTAAGCCTCACACTACTATTTAGCACATTATGCAGGCTGGAATGTCAGATGCCAGATCACTGCCTTTTTAAACAAGATATTAAGCCAAAGACCCAATGCGAACCCAGTGGATTAAATTTTCATGTTCCGATTCAAAGAACAGGGACTGCTTCCTATGCCCTGGCCAAATCATTTCTTTATAACACACCAAATGCTTTTTCCTACCCCAACATCCCCTTTTCTGGATATAGAATATTTGTCATCTTTGCCCACATAAAACAAATGGACCTCCTCCATCCTGGCATTAGCTGAATACAGTTAACTCCTTTATGTCATAGATGGGAATCAGAACAGGAGGTCAGCAAGTGAAATGATCATTCATATAACTATGATATTGTAGCCATTACAAAAACATGGGCATGAGGCGGACAAGAACGGAGGCTTAATGTTAAAGCATTTAGAGGTTTCAGGCAAAAGAGAGGGATGTAAAAGAGGTGGCGGAATTACGTCACTGATTAGGCAGAATAATCACAGCTGTACTGAGGGAGGATAACTTGGAGAGTTCATCCAGCGAGGCCATATGGGTAGAGCTCAGAAATAGGAAGGGTGCAATCACTTTGATGGGGTTGTACTACAGACCTCCCGATAGCCGGTGGGAAATAGAGGAACAGATATCTAGACAGATTATGAAAAAAAATGTAAAAACAACAGGGTTATTGTGGCAGGAGATTTTAACTTGAATACATTGACTGGGACGTGCTTAGTGTCAGGAGCTTGAATGGGAGGGGGGTGTGGTGGTGGAACTTGTTAGGTGCATCCATAAGGGTTTCTTGAAGTAAGACGTAAATAGTCCAACGAGAGAACGGGCCATACAAGAGATGATGTTGGGGAACGAGCCTGGTCAGGTAACTGAACTTTCTGTGAGGGAGCAGTTTCAAAAGTGACCATGACTCTGTACGTTCTAAGTTACATACAGATAAAGGTAAGAGTGGCCGTCGGGTGAACGATTAAGTTGCTGGAAGGCTAGCTAAGACAATATTAGGGAGGAACTGGGGCATGTATGATGCGGAGGTGCTGGTGTTAGACTCGGGTGGCCAAGGTCAAAAAATCACATGACACCAGGTTATAGTCCAACAGGTTTACTTGACACATGCTTTCGGAGTTTCACTCCTTCTTCAAGAGTCAGAGAGAGGAGCGGCATCAGACACAGAATTTATAAGCAAAAGATCAAAGGGTCATAGACCTGACAGGCATGTGTTGAACAAACCTAAGATGGCTGTTAAATCTTTACTCAGTTAGAAAGGATTAATATGCAAATTGCAGAATTTCTTCCAAGTCACTGCCCAAGATAAATAAAGGTTTTATCAGTTCCCTCAGTATACCAGAGGTGACACCCCAGATCAGACAATGCATTTTAGGTGTGAGGCCTTGTTTAGAATCTGGCTGTGTATCAACTTGGAGTCAGACTAGTTTTATTTCCAAAGTAGGAATTTAGAAAATGCCACACTGACTCTCTACAAATTGTGCGCTTTCTCAACAAAATACAATGTAATTACAAATCTGCAAAATCAAAATCATCCCATAGATATATATGCGTGTGTGAGAGAGCGCAAGCGAAACAGAGTAAGGGTGAGGGTGAGGAAAGGGTGTCTATGAGAGGGGGTCTGTGTCTGCGCACGCGCATATATATAGCTGTGGTGGCACCATCCGTAGTGTGACATAAACCCAAGATCCTGGTTGAAGCCATCCTCACAGGTACTAAGGTTGGTTATCAGCCTCTGAACAGCGACTCGGAGTTGCCATGCGTCCTTAAGTCTGCCTTGGAGGACATTTATCCGAAGCTCCAAGGCAGAATGTTCTTGACCGCGAAAGTGTTCCAGTCTGACGATTATGGCACAGTGTCCATTCCTCCAAGGCAGACTTCAGGATACACAACAACGCAGAGTCGCTGAACTAAAGCTGATAGCCAAGTTCGGAACCAGTGAGGACGGCCTCAACTGGGACTTTGGTTTCATTTCGCACCACAGTTGACCCCACCAACTACACACACACACAGAATCTCTCCCACATGCTGTCTCTCTCCCTCCCTCCCTCCCTTCCTTCCTCCTCCCCCCAAACCCCGCGTGCGTGCTCTGTCTGTCTCTCTCTCCCTCACCCCTCCCCGTCCACCCACCCTGCACACACTGTCTCTCTCCCCGTCCACCCACCCCGCATGCTCTCTGGCTCGGTCTCTCCACTCCTTCCCTCCATCCATCCCCTCCCCCACATACCCCGTGCGTTCTCTCACTCTCTCTCTCCCACATTATGACGAGTAGTCATTTCCGGTTTCGATCTGTATGGGTTTGTATATGGGGTCCAATTCTATATGTTTATTGATTGCATTACGGGTGGAGAACCATGTCTCTAGGGATGCCTGTGCGCGTCTATATTTGGCTTGGACTACTATAGTTACCTTATCCCAGTTAAGCTGATGGCCTTCATTGTCTGAACGTACCGATATTAAGGAGAGTTTGTCGTGTCATTTTGCTGCTAGCTTATGTTCATGTATTCTGATGGCTAGTTTCCTTCCTGTCTGTCCGATGTAATGTTTGTGGCAGTCATTGCATGGTATTTTGTAAACCACATCCGTGCTGCAAGTTGTGGGAATGGGGTCTTTAATTCTTGTAAGTGTTTGTTGTCGGGTGGCTGTGGGCTTGTGGGCCACCATGATTCCTCGTGGTCATAGGAGTCTCATCAGTTCCAGTATGCTCTTGATGTATGGCAGTGTGGCCAAAATGTTAGGGCGTACTGTGTCCTCTTGTTGTTGCCTATTTATTAGGCATCTGCGGATGAAGTCGCAGGAATATCTGTTTGTAGTGAGGATTTTGTACAGGTGCTCTTCCTCTTTCCTGCATAATTCTGGAGTGTTGCAGTGTGACCTAGTGTCCTAGCCCATTTAAATAGTGTCCTAATGGAGCTTCGTTTGTGGGCGTTGGGGTGGTTGCTGTGGAAGTTGAGGATTTGATCTGTGTGGGTTAGTTTTCTGTATACAGAGGTTTGGAACTCCTTGTTGGTCATATGCTCAACTTTAACATCCAGAAACAGAAGTTGATTGGTGTTTTCTATTTCCCTTTGTGAATTTAATCCCTGCGAATACGCTGCTGATGAGGTGGTGGGTCTCTTCTAAATTGTTGTGGTTAATAATGACAAATGTGTCATCTACGTACCAGATCCATAGTTTAGGTTGAATGCGGGGGAGGGTGGTGTGTGCTAGTCTTTGCATGACTGCTTCTGCAATGAGTCCTGAGACGGGTGATCCCATTGGTGTACAGTTGATCTGTTTGTATACTTGACCATTAAAAATGAAGGGTGTAGTGAGGCAGAGGTCTAGTAGTTTAAGTATGTTGTCATTGTTGATTGAGTTGCTGGTCTGTGTTGCTGTTTCCTCCAGTAATGCTGCCACTGTTTCTTTGGTTAGTGGGATGTTGATTGATGTGAATAAAACTGTGATGTCATAGGTTACCATAATCTCGTCATCGCTGATTTTTATGTTCTTGAGGGTAACCAGGAAATCTTGGGTTGAGTGGATGGAATGGGGTGATCCGTCGATTAGGTGTTCCAATCTCAGTTGTAGATCCCTGGCCAGTTTGTGTGATGAAGGGGTGCCTGGTAGGGAAACAGTGGGTCTGAGAGGAATGTCTGGTTTATGTACTTTAGTAAGTCCATAGAAGCAGGAGGTGTTCGTGCCTTCTGGACTCACCATAATGGGCCAGACAATATAAATTCCAAGCGGTGTAGAACAACATCGCTTCATCGGAGGCTCCACTGATGATGTCACCTAACATGGTGACGAAACATCTGAACGAGAACAAGCCAGCTCAGCGAGCAAGTCGTCAATCTCACCCACAACCCCAGCTACAGATCTTCGCCAAAAACTTCGAAACCCTCTTTCTCCCTCTCTCTCCCTGTCCACCCTCCCCTGCCCTCCACCACCCCCACACACACGCACGCACGCAAGCACAAATCTATGGGGTGAATTTCCATTTGCAGATTTGTAATTGCAGATACACTATTTTGTTCAAAAAGCTCACCATTTGTGGACAGTCAGTGTGGCATTTTACAAGTTCCTACTTTGGAAATAAATCCAGTCTGACTCCAAGTTGATACACAGCCAGATTCTAAACAAGGCCTCACACCCAAAATGCATTGTCTGACCTGGAGGTCACCTCTGGTATACTGAGGGAACTGATAAAACCTTTTAGTTATCTTGGGGCAGTGACTTGAAAGAAATTCTGCAATTTGCATATTAATCCTTTCTAACTGAGTAAAGATCTAACAGGCATCTAGGGTTGGTTAAACACATTTGCACCAGTTCTATGGCCCTTTGATCTTTTGCTCATAAATTCTGCGTCTGATGCCACCTTTCTTACTGACACCTGAAGGAGGAGCGAGACTCCAAAAGCTTGTGTCTTCAAATAAACATGTTGGATTCTAACCTGGTGTCGTGCGATTTTTGACCCTGGGTAATGTAGACTGGGGGCATTCTCGCATTCTCCGGCTCCATGCATTAATTTCCTTTGTTGTCTTGAGTGGACCTACCCTTTCCCTAGCTATCCTCTTCCTCCTTATATACTTCAAAAAAAGCTTTGTGATTTTCCTTAATCCTGTTTGCCAAAGTCATTTCATGGCCTCTTTCCTGTTTTCTTTATATACCTCAAGGGCTCTGTCTTCAGTTTCCTAAACTTTAGGTATTCTTCCTTTTTCTTTCAGAGTAAGCTCAATTTCTCCTGTCATCCAAGGTTCTGGAATCTTGCCATCCTTATCCCTCACTTTCATAAGAACATGCTGGTCCTGAATTCAAATCATCTGGCCTTTAAAAGATTCCCACATGACAAATGTGGATTTACCCTCAAACAGCTGCCCCCAATCTACGTTACCCAGGGTCAAAAATCGCACGACACCAGGTTAGAATCCAACACGTTTATTTGAAGACACAAGCTTTTGGAGTCTCGCTCCTCCTTCAGGTGTCAGTAAGAAAGGTGGCATCAGACGCAGAATTTATGAGCAAAAGATCAAAGGGCCATAGAACTGGTGCAAATGTGTTTAACCAACCCTAGATGCCTGTTAGATCTTTACTCAGTTAGAAAGGATTAATATGCAAATTGCAGAATTTCTTTCAAGTCACTGCCCCAAGATAACTAAAAGGTTTTATCAGTTCCCTCAGTATACCAGAGGTGACCTCCAGGTCAGACAATGCATTTTGGGTGTGAGGCCTTGTTTAGAATCTGGCTGTGTATCAACTTGGAGTCAGACTGGATTTATTTCCAAAGTAGGAACTTGTAAAATGCCACACTGACTGTCCACAAATGGTGAGCTTTTTGAACAAAATAGTGTATCTGCAATTACAAATCTGCAAATGGAAATTCACCCCATAGATTTGTGCTTGCGTGCGTGCGTGTGTGTGGGGGTGGTGGAGGGCAGGGGAGGGTGGACAGGGAGAGAGAGGGAGAAAGAGGGTTTCGAAGTTTTTGGCGAAGATCTGTAGCTGGGGTTGTGGGTGAGATTGACGACTTGCTCGCTGAGCTGGCTTGTTCTCGTTCAGATGTTTCGTCACCATGTTAGGTGACATCATCAGTGGAGCCTCCGATGAAGCGATGTTGTTCTACACCGCTTGGAATTTATATTGTCTGGCCCATTATGGTGAGTCCAGAAGGCACGAACACCTCCTGCTTCTATGGACTTACTAAAGTACATAAACCAGACATTCCTCTCAGACCCACTGTTTCCCTACCAGGCACCCCTTCATCACACAAACTGGCCAGGGATCTACAACTGAGATTGGAACACCTAATCGACGGATCACCCCATTCCATCCACTCAACCCAAGATTTCCTGGTTACCCTCAAGAACATAAAAATCAGCGATGACGAGATTATGGTAACCTATGACATCACAGTTTTATTCACATCAATCAACATCCCACTAACCAAAGAAACAGTGGCAGCATTACTGGAGGAAACAGCAACACAGACCAGCAACTCAATCAACAATGACAACATACTTAAACTACTAGACCTCTGCCTCACTACACCCTTCATTTTTAATGGTCAAGTATACAAACAGATCAACTGTACACCAATGGGATCACCCGTCTCAGGACTCATTGCAGAAGCAGTCATGCAAAGACTAGCACACACCACCCTCCCCCGCATTCAACCTAAACTATGGATCTGGTACGTAGATGACACATTTGTCATTATTAACCACAACAATTTAGAAGAGACCCACCACCTCATCAGCAGCGTATTCGCAGGGATTAAATTCACAAAGGGAAATAGAAAACACCAATCAACTTCTGTTTCTGGATGTTAAAGTTGAGCATATGACCAACAAGGAGTTCCAAACCTCTGTATACAGAAAACTAACCCACACAGATCAAATCCTCAACTTCCACAGCAACCACCCCAACGCCCACAAACGAAGCTCCATTAGGACACTATTTAAATGGGCTAGGACACTAGGTCACACTGCAACACTCCAGAATTATGCAGGAAAGAGGAAGAGCACCTGTACAAAATCCTCACTACAAACAGATATTCCTGCGACTTCATCCGCAGATGCCAAATAAATAGGCAACAACAAGAGGACACAGTACGCCCTAACATTTTGGCCACACTGCCATACATCAAGAGCATACTGGAACTGACGAGACTCCTATGACCACGAGGAATCATGGTGGCCCACAAGCCCACAGCCACCCGACAACAAACACTTACAAGAATTAAAGACCCCATTCCCACAACTTGCAGCACGGATGTGGTTTACAAAATACCATGCAATGACTGCCACAAACATTACATCGGACAGCTCAAAGATTGGGGGGACTTCAGACAGTGCAAAGATTGCCAGAGGATACAGC